CCCTCCCCCGCTCCCTTCCCACTGTTAGCCCCTCCCCTTCGAACTCTCCCTCCCTCTCTCCTTCGCCCGCCCTGTCCGCGTTCAGCGGCCCTTCATCTTCGTCTCAGTCTTCTCAATCATCTCAATCGTCCCAATCGTCCCAATCGTCCCAATCGTCCCAATCGTCCCAATCGTCCCAATCGTCCCAATCGTCTCAATCGTCCGACTCGCGCTCAGAACTTGCGTCGCCCTCCGTGTCTCCGATGGAGACAAAACCAAGATATAACCCCTCGATGGCGTACTCGAGGAGTGTTGCTGATACGAGGGTGTCTACGGTGTTGCGGCCTGCGTCGGCGTTTGGTTCTATGCCGGGGGTGGGAGTGGGAGTGGGGAGCGGTGGGAGGAGGTGATCGGTGTGAGGAGGGTGATATCGACTTCTTTTTTGCTTTGTTTTACGTGTTGTTGGACTTGGACTTCTTGGTGTATCGTTACGCTTTCCTTTGCTGCTTAGTCGATCTTGTTTTCTTGCTGCCCACGTATCTGTTGTGTCTCTCGTCTGTATATCCCCTGCCGCTGCCGTGTCGTCGAAATTATCTTGTAGCCTTATACTTTCCATACCCTTGTGTCTACGATGAATGATATCTTTCAACGTCTGAGTCGTCTGGACTCTTCATCGCTTGAACTGTCCCCTCTGAATTCGGACTCAGTTTCACGAAACCTCAGGCCTCATTACTGAGCCTTGGGCTTCTCGGTGGTTGGAATCATCTCACATTTCGCCCGGACACTCTGCTGCGTCAGACTCTGTAGATACTAAGTAGATACTGTTTGAACCGCGATCTCGTCGCGGCATCGTTTTATTTAAAGTGAACGCCGGAGAATTCAAAGAGAGTATTTGACGTCGAGTTCTTGGCTTCCTCGTGGACGTATTTGAGGCACACTTCGAGTTCCTTCCTTCGCCATCTTACAGTGGTTACCCCAGATTTAAATTGAGTATTAGGATCACGAGGCCGCCCTGGGCCTCCCCTCGTCCTCGAGACCTAAATGAATCCAAGTTTCGATGATTTACGGCCTTCACGGCTACTACACGCTCTGTATACTTCGAACAGCGATCACATACGTGCATGGAAGATACCTGGTATGTCCTATTTTCTATAAGTAATGCGGGAGAAGGGGCACGAAGGATGCGGGGTCTGTAGGGGACGTCTTCGTCGAAGACTCTTTCAAGTTGTATCATCATTACAAGTCCATGTACTCGTAAGATGCCTCGTTACCTCGACGAATAAATGCAATTTCTCCCACAACGAAAGGGCCACGATGTCCGTAAATATATCTTCATTCGTAGGAGCCTTTAAATCAGTCAAGTGCTGAATGTTGTCGTGGATATGAAGAGGGGAAGAAAGCCCGATTGCATCGGGATTCGGGAATTGTCTTTGGGAAGGGCAACGGCGGCAGAGTCGGAGAATACCACTGTAAGGATGGTTCTTCCCATCCGTCTTTTGGGAATTATCCAAATATGGCGTGTATATTTTCACTGGGGAAGATGAACACACGGGGGCGATCGTGTACCTTGGCGCCTTCCGTCGGAGCTCTCGCCCAGGTGATAAGATAAGATTCGGTCGCTTCGATAGCTAGCTCTTTGCATAACCAGACTGCCTAGTTCAGATCCTCCCGAATGTTCCTCACAAGTTAGACCACATACCTAACAACACGAAAAGAGGAATCTTCCAGCCCACAAGCTCCATCAGGCCCAGCATTCAAAATGATCAGCGGGATATCACTGCCCAACCGCTCATCTCTTGTTGCACACCTAAACAAACCTCCGGCTGCCTGCGCCCCGGAGGGCCCTACATAGAGAGATAGGTCGGAGGAATAGGACGCTGGCCTCGAATCACAAACGAGCTGTGCATCGGGCTCGGCTCAAGGGAGGGCCCTCGAGTTGGAATCACGGTTCAGACATTCTTCTACGAGTCTCAGACCGTTGCCTCATCATCCCCGGTTTAGATCTTCCTAACGACTTGCTTGTCAGCATCAATCATGGTTAGTCTTTTCACAATTTACTCTATACTGAAGTGCTGATCGTCCTTCAGGCTTCAAGCCCGAATGCACGTCGCGTCACAGCTTACGCCACAATCTTCAAACCAGCATACCACCCAAGCTTGAGACATAAATACATAGCTCACGAATTCTGTTAATCACCGCACTTGCACTGCAGTACAGCAACGATTCTCTCGAACACGGGTTCGCCGAGACGCCCGAAATAGCCCACCCTGGCCGCCTTGTACCCGAAACTTGGAATATATTTAAAGCCGGAAGAAGTCGATCAGGAAGGAGGTTAATCAGGTTCTCGATTGATTTTATATTCAGCTCTTTGAGTTATTAGTATTAAAAGGCCGAAGTGTCCCCGCGATGGGGTAAAGTGTCATGGTGCTCGGGCGACACAATTTATATCGCCTTGACGTGAAGCCCGAATTCAAACAGAACGAGACGGTAGGAAGGATATCCGGGTCCACCTTCCAGAGGTATTTTATCCCGTGGAAAGACTACATCTACGAAACATTATTTGCAAGTAAGTAAGTATGCCCAGGAGATTGGACATGGGCACGCCATGCCCAATGATCGCCGCTTCCTAGTACGGACTGATACGACCACCACATCTCCCTTTCTTATTCTCGAGCGTCCCGCCCTTCAAGTCCGAGGAAGATTTTCTCTCAGCGCCGACCGTTGTTGTAGCAGCGACAGAGGTTTTCTATCACGTATGGCTACGTACTGTGGCGCCGAGATCGAAACGATACGCCACGTAGCGGGAAGTTAATGTTGAACAGTCGATCAGTATCAGAACTTTCCTGGGCGCTCAGAGGAAGGTAAGGTGCTTTTACAGCTGTTTCTGAAAACCTTGTCCATCATAACTTTTTTTTTTGAGCCGCGAGACATCATGTGAGCCTGGGGAGCTTTCGTGGGAGCCATCACTACCGTATTTAGACAGCAGAGATTCGAGCTGGCCATTTGAGCATCTACGGGAGGTCCTGGCACTTGAATTCTGGGCGCATTATAGCTGAGGAGCTCTTCTGAGAGCATGTACCAAATTTGAGGTGAAACAGTATATTTTTGGGTCCAAGCGTGCCACCCAACCTCTTCCTCAGGCGCGGAAACACGCTGTGGGAAGTTCAGGTTCCGAACGCCCACGGGACGAGCCCCACCAGGTAGACGCCACATTGGGCGTTTACAATAACCCTATCTGTGAAGTTTAAATGTCGATATTTGGGCCAGGAGGCAGGGAATCGCTCAACAATGCTCGCGCGGCTCACGGAGCTCGTCATTGATGCGTCGCCCAAAACAGCAGCCATCAGCACATGACCGGTCGCAGCCCAAAAAAATAAAAAAAAGTGATGGATAAGGTTTTCCGAAACAGCTGTAAATCTTCTCGGAATTGTGAAGTTGAGATGCGCCCAGCCTCGCGGAAAGCCATTTCGAGGGGTGGAGAAGCTATTGATACCTACTACGCAATGTTGTTGTGGTGGCCATCTTGGACTTCAGCCGTGGCCACCTCCGCAAGACGCGTTTCGACACTGCCTCATATTACAGCACGCCGAACGAGACAGATCCGACCTTTCTAAGTGTAGTGGGCTGGCGTACATACGAAGATATGGATATGGAGTTGCGTACGCTCGGGTTTGGGGGACGACAGGATTCAGAGCGATGGCCCACTTCCCGAAAATGGCGCAATCGCCCAACCCAATCTAAGTTGCTTTATGGGTCATGGACTGAATTAGTTGGCAAATATGAATCCATTAGTTGGTCCACATCACTCCGTACGCATCGGTCCTCAATTTCAGCGTAGCACCAGGAAGTTTTCGTTAGGCTTTCAGATGAAAAATATGGGATTGTGTTCGGCAAGGATGTCATTTCATTGGAAATCCCTATTGAGCTCCGCAATAAAGAGGCCGTTCAGAGTCGCCGACGGATGGAATTAGAACTGTTCTCTTCAGATTTTGCGTCTCATTGGACTGGGCAGTGCCAGCGACGTTCTTTCGATTTCAGGCTGTAGAGGGAGCCAAGAGCAACCTCAAGACAAGGCGTCTGCGGTTCTTCGATATGTCTTGCCACACGTCGAAGATCAAGAGGAATGGCGGTAGGGACCGACATAGCCTGCGAACCACGTAGATAAGATAAGGACTCCAATTAGCGCCCATGCTGAGGGATCTCGGCCCGACGGAGTACTTGGCGTTGTTGTATACGCCTGTGCCAAACACGTTGGTCATCGCTACGAACGATGGCGCGGACGAACGTTGACAACCGCCTCGTACTGTCCCGCCAGCGTAACCGCCTCGAAGCCTCAGAAGACGCTTAGTCTGCCGTCGGTCTGACAGAGTCCTCTTCCTCGGACGTGCGACAAGTCGGTTCGAGTGACGATGAACCCGTTGTGGTCATATTGGGGTCATATGCAAGCTGCGGCTACCAGCCGTCACTCAGTTCTCTTGGTCCCTACTGGCAACCACAAAATAGTAGACGCTGCGCTGCGCAGCGTCTAGCTAGCGCCTGTCCCCAGAATTCCTCGCCTATGTTCGGCTTGGAGAGTATCGCATGGCTCTACTCGTTGGACTTCACTTCTCTCAAGGCCGTCCCCTTGCCTTAACGACATGGGCGTTCTCTCGAACTTGATTGGCCGCTGCGGAATGGTACCAACCCCGGTATACCGTGAGTCGTCGTGACTTGCGCCGAACGCACGCAAGCGAAGCAAGTCGGTGTTCGTAGAGAGGTTTGCGAGAGCTATATAAACGAGACTTGTAGTTCTCTCTTTCTCTATCAATAATTCGCTTCATTTCTTCTCTTTCCAACCTCAGGCTAGGTTTTATTTCCATTCTTCAACTAGTACGTTTACTTTATCTTGAAGGCATGCTCTACTAATTCTATTTTCTCTGCAGCACCTTTTGCTTCACCTTTCTCTTCGATTCTCTTCGACTATCCCCCTTCGCCGATCGTTCTTCAATATGTTCAGCAAATTCACTTCGTTCTTGACCCTCGCTTGCGTTTTATCTACCGGTTTTGCGGCGCCCGTCCCTCAGACCCGCGGTTCCAATCGAAACCTCCAGCCATTCACTGGCAACTGTAAGTTCCTTCGCCGAATTCGATTGTCTATTCTTTGCTCACATCGGTATCAGTGGGCGGCCAGGCGCCGCCTACCGTCGTCCGCGGCAACAACGGCTTCACAGTCACAGGCAGGGGCACCTTCGCTGACTTCGCCTCGGCCCTCGCCGCTTCGTGCGAGGTTCAGCAGCAGAACTGCCTGAACGCGAACGTCCCTGCCGCTCAGTGCAACGATCAGGCTGCCCAGTGCCGTGCAGCTGCCTCTTCGGCTAGAGCTCCGCGTTCGGAGGAGGGGTTAGAGGCGCGCCAGGTGCCTCCTCCTCCACGTCCGGATACCCCACCTCCACCGCCTCCTGCGCGTCGTCCGCGCGACGAGGAGTTGGAGAGTCGCCAGGTACCTCCTCGTCCTGATAGCCCGCCTCCTCCCCCTCAGAGGTAGGTCCTTTCTAGTGATATTACTCCCATTAGGCTAACGCCCTCTGGGATATAGGGATGCCCCTCCTCCGCCTCCCGCTCCCGCTGGCAATCGTCCACGTTCGGATGAGGAGTTAGAAGCACGTCAGGGCCGTCCTCCTCGTCCCCAGAAGTAAGCCCTCCGTCTCTGTCCTGTACACTTGTCTCATCTTTTGCGCAGCCGCCCTCCTCCGCCTCCTCGAGGTGGCAATCGCCCCCGCGATGACGATGTGGTCGAGAAGCGCCAGGGACCCGGTGGCGGTCGTGGCGGTAACGCACCTCCTCCCCAAGGGTAAGTCTCGTTTTCTTTAACTTCCCCTATCCTTTTTCTTACTTTTTTTCTATGCGACAGGAATAATGGCAATGGGAACAACAACAACAACACCCAGCCTCCTCCTCCCAACAACAACAACAACAATAATAATAACCAGCCTCCTCCGCCCAACAACACTAACAACAACAACCCGCCCCCGCCCAATAACAACAACAACAACAACCCACCTCCCAACAACAACAACAACAACAACCAGCCCCCTCCTGCTAATGCTGGCAATCGCGGACCGCGCGAGATCTGTAAGTCTTTAACCACCTTGCGTTCATCCAGGTCCTGATGCTTAACTTCGGTGTTGGATAGAAGGACCTCAACTTCTTTGGAGGCGAACGCGAGTCTTATTCCTTTCCAACAGAACGAGCCGGTGCACCTCTATTTCGTACTACTCTGCGCCTCGCTCTGCGCCACGCTGTCCCTGTCGGTGGTGGCGTATCTTCTCTCGCTCCGAGTCAGACCTGGAACAGATGTTATAAGGAAGTAATAGTGGGTGTAAAAATATAATGTTGCTGTCGTTATTCTGCCTTTAGAGGCTCGGAACCACGAGATATGTTGAAGTTTTGAAGTCAGGCGAACACAACTCTCGCGGCTTTCATAACGCGGTTGGAGCTTAGGGGTGAGAAATCGGCATCACGGTCCGGTAGGTCTCCCACGCGAAAAGCGAGCTCTCGATTCTTTGAACTTTGACCTCAACCTTTTGGACCGCTTTCTCAATGTTCCTGTGACTTCTTCTACTTCTCTTGCAGTATCCCCGTTGTGTCACTGATGGATATAAATAGCCTATCGACCCCCACAACCTGAACCATCATCATCACCCGAGGAATTTATACCGTTTCGGTCGACTACATGTTTCGCAAGAGGCTATAAGTAGTTTCTGCTGTGTAGCTGTTCATGATTCCTTTACCGAAGCACTCATTACAGAGTGAGAACCACGGTCAGAATCTCGTAGCTTCTGCCGGTCGTCGCAAGGGTGTTACGAATTCAAAGTGCACTCCACTCTCATTCCTTCTGATCGAGTTGGACCCAGCTTGGACCTAGGTCATTCAAGATCTGTGAGGCCACTTTGAACAAGACCATGAAGGGAAGAGAAGCTAACGTTAGAGAACCGCCGGTGTTCGAGGGTTCCAGTGATGGTTTCCGTTTCATGAACCTTTAGGGAGTAGATGTGGCGTCACTCGTGTTTCTCGGGCTGGGGATTCTCCCAAAAATTCTTCAGGAAGTCAGTCCTGCAGCACCATGCTCCACGGAACTCTATGCTTAAAACTTTTGCAGTTCACAACCAGGTTGATTTGTATCTTGGACTGGCAATCATTATTTCTCGGACGGAGCTCCACCTTCAGCTTTCTTGGGCCTTTCAGGCATTCCTTCGGAGAACTCTCTGTCAGAGACACATCAGCACTGCGTTCCAAAACCCAATGGGTTCAAATCTACCCATCTATTTGTATGTAACACTCAGAAGTATCTGATCGCCGGCATCCTAACGCGGTCAGATATCAGGCGCGTGCGATTTCGATGGATTGTTCGGAGTTTGGGGCACACCATTGAAGACGATCAAAGCGCGGGAAGCACTCTACCTGGACGCGCGTCGGCGCTGTTATGTTCGTCGCGTTTTTCAGGCCTCCATACCCTCCCGCTCAGCCTCCTCCACTCTCCGCATCTCGGATATTTCAAATTTCTGGCTTTATCATCAGCAGAGCATTGGTGTAGGTATCCTGATTCTTGTTCCTGAATGTTGAATTGTTTTACCCCCGGATAAGCTGCGCCTTTTTCACACGTTTTGGGAGCGCCCCGTATGCAAGTCGAGGTTGACATAGCTATCCGAATGTCGGGCAATACAGAGGGCTTTATAGAGTTGGGATTGCCTATCCTGCTCTAATACGATCGACAGTGCGGCTTGGACGACCCCTCTATCCGCTAATTCGCATCTCATTGACCTCACCGCTTTCGCCCCCACAACCTGTGGATCGAACAAACATCCGAGAAGATCGCCATTACGGTCATTCGCCAAGAAGATTTACCTTCGCCGTGGGAGACCAAGAATATGGAGATATTTCTCTATCTCCCTAGCACTGACAGTCGAAATTAATACTGGTACTCATATGGCACGAGTAGACTCGAGATCTGCGTACCGATCTTTCGGAAGTAAATTCACCACGATGCATGGTTCTGTCGATTCTCCTAGCGAACGGCATGCATACCTTTAAAATACGCTATGCGGTTACGCGCTCCAAACCCCATGTAGGAGCCGCGAAGGATGTGGCTTCTTTGCGAGAAGGACCTCTAATTTTACCGCAACACACCGTCATACCCACAGAAGCCAGGATCCACCCCCTACTAATTTCCGGTCGCAAGGGATTTATGGGGACGCTTCCGCTGACTTCAATGTGAATCACAGTGTGATAATTATCGTGTCAGCTAGAGTTTTAGAAAATGCGACGAATAGTAGCGATCACGCTTCACGAATAATCACAGGCATGGAAGATATCAGTGTTCTCCCACACTTGAGCATTGTGTGCGTAGAGCGGATTGTCATAGAACTTCCAGCCTTTGACAAGGTGACAATAATCAAATTCAGCGCAGACGATTCACGCTGAACCTCAGATGACAGAAGTGTCGCCAAGATACTTTTCGTATGGTGGTATTTTGGCCTATCCTTCGCGATTAGGTTTCCTCAGTTCAACTACTCCCAACCGTCTCCGCGTCCCCGGCAAGTCAAGTCAACACCGGACACGCCTCTCTTCTATTTTAGGTATCCCAAGTTTCGCCGAACTGCTGGGAATAATCGGCGGGGATGTCAAAGCCCAGAATCCAGATGATTTCCGCCTCTCTCCGGTTGTATCGTTCAGAGACGGGAATTCGGGCGGGAATCGGCCACTTGAAAACTTTACGAGGGATCTTCACCTAGCCTTCATTTAACTCGCACGTGCCCCCCACTCTGGCATTAGTTTTAAATTACGTCCTCAACTCGGAGCCTCGGGCGGAGGAACGCACGCTCTGACGGCGCGGGCTTGCAGCTACTCTGTACTACAACAGATAAACCCACAACACAGCCCACGAGCCAAGAACGAGGCTAGAGTCGAGACACCTCCCATGAACCCGATGCCCGAACCTCTCAATCCACACAACTCCTTACGGCAACTGAAAATCCCTCTGACAGATGGAGAGAAGGAAGGCTGGTTCGTGTGGCACCCAAGAATATCTGCTGTATTCAAGGACGCAGAAGAGTATCGGACCCCTCGGACTGTGGGTACTGGCATCCTCACGCTCGAGTTCACCTGCGGGAAATGGCCCCTCGAGCCGGTGTTTGAACTTAGCTATTCCTTCACACTGTTCTTATGGGCTCGAGGAATATGCGATCAGCCAGGTGTGTGCAGGATGCCAGTAGTGAATTATAAGAGGTTTCTCCGGTCGCAGACGTTATCGGACATGAACGGCCATTTAAAATTAATGTTGGGAGGCTCATCCACGAAGCACGCGTCGTCGGTGAATATGATGCACCAATAGGTATTTCCGACCCATTGCCACGTAATATACGGTCACTTGCCTGCGTCGCGGCAAGGCTGAAGGCAAATATAACAATTATAACCTTCATTACACGTTAATCATGCGCCGCAGCGTATTAAGCCTAGACCGGCATCGAACGTTGAGCGCTTGAGCTTCTAACCGCTTGAGGTCCGGAATGAGTGGTACACACGGAAGGCAGCTCGAAACCCGGACGTAGGTATCAGAGAGCCATGGGTCATAAGCTCAGGCCAACTGAATCCGTGCTCTCTTCATATAGTCTTCGATTTAGAACTGAATTCTACGTTCATGGACTTACTTGACCACTTTTCACTGGGTTATCTAATTTCAAGCAAGTTTGGCGCAGCCGTCCTATCGCCGCCGGCCGGTCGAGTGTCAGTCTCGGGGATTGACGTTGACCCGCGATGTCCAAGGAGATAAGTACTGGATCCGAGTGTTACACGCTAGAGGGAGGGTTGTAGGGTGCTCGAAACTGGCTTCACGACATCTACTGCCTCTGAAAACGTCATGCCTTGAAATTTTACTTGAGCCTTTCTGGGAGATAGCGTCTCCCTCTCCCTCTAGCTGGGAATACAGCCCGAAAAGGAGACAGAGGCGCCGAATTCCATTTATAGAAAACAACATTCTAAGGCTGGTGCACCATGTCACACGGCAACGCCAATTGGGACCAGCGCCTGACTAGGCGGTGCCGCGGTGTTGCCAATACCGCAAGGCAGACGTACCCAAACCAATCAATCAAGAAATGTGGACTACACGAGCGTCGAGGATCAGGACTCAAGACGAGGATCCCATTCTGATAGGTGTTTTGGGGGATCAATCGTTCTCTCAGCGAACCGTCGACTGTACGACGGGAGTTTGAGCCCCTTGTAGTAACTTGATTAACCTAAAAGTGTGCTTACAGGCTAATGCCTTCAGAGTAGTCAAAGGGCTAGCAAGCCTACGATCACTATTTGCGTCAGGCCTGAAAGCGGTCCACCATTGTCACTTCAAAGAACGTGTAAGGTCAGCATGTGCGACGAGAATGGTACCTTGAGAGCCTATTAAAGCCGCTAAGAAATCCCTACCATCTGAGACGACCCGAACCGACCTTGAGCCTATCGGAAGGTCAAATTTCGACTTCGGAATTAAACCGGGCGAGCCACCGGCGACCATCGAACATCGAAATCGAGTGCAAGCTCAAAAGCCAATTATTTAATCCAACCATGATCCTCGCCACGGACTTACGTCGCACCCCCGCTTCTCGACGTCAAACGAACTTTCTGACTCCATTCCATCAAGCCTGAAGCTTCATGATTCGCCTCGCGCCTTCCGCACAGGGAAATACCGAGGGCTAGCTGGGGTGCCTACGGTTGACGGCTGGGCTCAGGTCTATGTCAGACGAT